TTGAAACCTGTTTGATTACTAAAATGCTCTTTGTTTAAATAAAATTTTTTATTGGCAAATTCTTGTTGGGTTAAAGTGGATGGCAAATTTGGAAATTTTAAAAATTGTGTGAGGATAAAATGGATAAAAAAAAAAAAAGATGAATTAATGCTGAGTTAGTTATCTAAGAATTAGGATACCATCTCCCACCCAAGAATCCAATTCCTCCAAAATCAGGAGTTGAATTCTCAATTTTGTGTGGGGCCCACTTGCATTTTCATTTCTTTATGTGAAGTAAACACAACATAATCGGAATTCAAATCCTTATTTTGATTCCAATAATGAATGAGTAAACATGTCGATTTTAAATTTGGACTATGAAATTTGGATATTAATTGGGTTAAAGGATCTAGATACTACTTGGGGCTAATAATGTGATTTGGATATTAATTGAGTTTATTAATATATTCAAATATAAATAAATAAGTAAAATAATACAACCGGATTGGTTCAATTTGGATCAAATTTTTCAAGGCAAAAAGGGGAACGAGAACCCATCTAAAACAATTTGATTCAGTTTTGGGGCTGAAATATACTTTTTTTTGTCAATATGGTTTTTTTGTCAATTTTTTTAGTTCGATTCAACTATGTTCACCGGATCATCGGTTTTTTCGCCCACCCCTACTAGCCAATGATAAAATAAAAGAGAAATTTATAATAAAACTCATTTCTTACATTGATTTTATATATAAACACTAAAAGCTATAAATTAAAGGAAAAAAAATTCCAAAATAGACCAGCTGATGTGTGAAATACTATTATTATCCTTGTATTATGATTTTTAGAAGAAAAAAAACTCAGATAGTAATGTTGTAATTTTTATGTTTTTCAAAGCTTGCACGATATATTTGGTCTCTTTAAAAAATAAAAATAATTTTTTTTCCTAAAATTTGAGTTATATTGTGGGCCGTACTTATGAAGTTACATTTGAAAAGCCCAAAAATAAAATTCACTCATGAATTGGCTTGCCTTTTAAGTGAAGTGTGTTATGACAAGCTTTCTCCCCTATCAAGCCCAAGTAGTGGGCCCCGAGCAGCGTTGTATAATCTCAAGCCTTCTATTTCCAATTCAATAATTACAAAATAAAACCCTCCCAAAATCAAAATCCTCAGCTGCGGAAAAACTGAGGGCTGTAGCACAGACATGCTTCCGAGTAGACCTCCAAAGCTCCCACTCTCCACTCTCTCTCTAACCCACTCCTCCTTCACTTTCTTCTCCTCCCTCTTCTCCTCAAACCCTAAAACTAAACCCCTCCCTATGCGCTCTTCTCTCTCCCTCCTCCGCTCCCTCACGCTTTCTCTCTCACACCACCACTACCACCCTACCCACCGACTCCCGAGACCCATCTCTGGTTTCCCGCTCGCCGTCGCCGCCAAATCCCGCCGGGTACTCGCGCTTCCCTCTTCCAGTACTTTCGTCGAACACCTTTCGGGCGAGGTCTCGCAGCCGGGGGAGAATTGGGATTTGAGCAATGTTGCGCAGGGCGAGGCTTTCGACTTAGATAAGTGCTTTTCTTCAGCCGACTTGAAGCACCTGGCGGTTCCGGAGCTTGAGGTTCCGGAGCTCGAGGACCTCCCGGAGCAGTGGCGAAGGTCGAAGCTGGCTTGGCTTTGTAAGGAACTGCCGGCGCATAAGGCCGGCACGTTGAGTCGGATACTCAATGCGCAGAAAAAGTGGATGAGGCAAGAAGATGCCACTTATGTTGCAGTGCATTGTATGCGAATTCGCGAAAATGATGTCGGGTTTAGGGTAAAGAAACTAAATTTTCAGTCTTTTTGAGTTTTCATTGTGTTGATATTTGCAATATGCGTATTTTGATATGTTTCTAGCTTTCTCGTTGTAGATTGCTGTCACATTAGTCTTCTGTACTGTTGATTGAGGATTTGCAAAAAATAAAAATAAAAAATTGCAATTTGCATGTTTTGCTTCACTTGGACTGTGGTTTTAGCATGTCTATGGATCCTAGTAAAATTAATGATACATTGATTATGTAAATATATGTGGACTTAGTTAAGTTTTGTTAAAATGTCTGTAGGTGTACAAATGGATGATGCAACAACATTGGTATCGTTTTGATTTTGCTCTTGCTACCAAGTTAGCAGATTACATGGGTAAAGAGCGAAAATCCTCAAAGTGTAGGGATATATTTGATGATATAATTAATCAGGGCCGTGTGCCTAGTGAATCTACATTTCATATATTGGTTGTTGCATATCTTAGTGCATCGGTTCAAGGTTGCTTGGAGGAAGCATGTGGCATTTACAATCGTATGATTCAGTTGGGAGGCTACCAGCCCCGGCTTAGCTTGCACAATTCTCTCTTCAAAGCCCTTGTCAGCAAACCTGGAACCTCTTCGAAGCATTACCTTAAACAGGCTGAGTTTATTTTTCATAATTTGGTAACAACTGGACTTGAGATTCACAAGGATATTTATAGTGGCTTAATCTGGCTACATAGTTGTCAGGATACCATAGATAAAGAGAGGATGACATCATTAAGGAAAGAAATGCAACAAGCTGGAATTGAGGTGGGCAGAGATGTGCTTGTGTCTATCTTGAGAGCTTGCTCAAAGGAGGGGGATGTGGAGGAAGCAGAAAGTACTTGGCTCAAACTTCTCCACCTTGATGTTGGTCTCCCATCTCAGGCATATGTTTATAAAATGGAAGCCTATTCAAAGGCTGGAGAACCTAGGAGATCCCTGGAGATATTCAGGGAGATGCAAGAACAGTTGGGTTCAGCCAATGCTGTGGCATATCATAAAGTCATAGAGGTCTTATGTAAAGCTCAAGAAGTTGAACTTGCAGAGTCCCTCATGACAGATTTCATCAACATCGGTTTGAAGACTTTCATGCCATCTTATATTGATCTAATGAACATGTATTTCAACTTAGGCTCACATGACAAATTGGAATCAGCTTTCTTCCAGTGCCTTGAGAGATGTCGACCCAGCCGTACGATTTATTCTATATACTTGGATTCTTTGGTGAAAGTTGGTAATCTTGATAAAGCTGAGGAGATCTTTGACCAAATGCAGAGGAATGGGGCAACTGGTATTAATGCTCGGTCCTGCAACACCATATTAAGCGGATACCTATCATCTGGAGATTATGTCAAGGCAGAAAAAATATTTGATCTGATGTGCCAGAAGAAATATGATGTTGACTCCCCATTGATGGAAAAGATTGACTATGTCTTGAGCTTGAGCAGAAAAGTAGTTAAGAGACCTGTAAGCCTGAAGCTGAGCAAAGAACAACGAGAAGTTTTAGTAGGTATGCTGTTGGGTGGTTTGCAGATTGAGTCAGATGAAGACAGGAAGAATCACATGATCCGGTTTGAGTTCAGTGAGAATTCTAGCACACATTCTCTGTTAAGGAGACATATGTATGATCAATACCACGAGTGGCTACATCCTTCTTGTAAAACCAGTGAGAGTACTGACGACATACCATATAAATTTTCAACCATCTCACATTCTTGTTTAGGTTTCTATGCGGACCAGTTTTGGCCAAAAGGTAGACAGGTGATTCCAAAGCTAATCCATAGATGGTTGTCACCCTGTGCTCTTGCCTACTGGTATATGTATGGGGGCCACAGGTCTTCATCAGGTGACATATTGTTGAAGATAAAGGGAAATGAAGAGGGTGTTGAGAAGATTGTCAGAGCCTTGAAGGCAAAGTCCCTGGATTGCAAGGTGAAGAGGAAGGGGAGAGTTTTTTGGATTGGTTTTCTGGGAAGTAATTCTACCTGGTTCTGGAAATTAGTAGAACCTTATATTCTAGATGACTTGAAGCATCTTTTAAAAGGTGGCCAAATCTCAGATAACAGCGCGGTTGAAACTGAAAACGTCAACTTTGGTAGTGGGTCTGATACTGATGAGAATGCTTCTGAATCTGATCACACTGATAATGATAATAATTTGTAGCGCTCTATAAGGTGGTGTATTATTGGCCATTCTCAGAATATTACTGTGTTTAGTAAGCTAGGAGACTTCTTAATCAATTCAAGGCTTTCGCTTCTAGAGTTGTACATACCTTAGAAAGTAGATGAGTCTTGATATTTTTGTAAGATATCTTTAATTTATAAACTTGGAAAGTAAAAGTTAGCTTGTATAATGCATTAATGACATTGTTTTAAGTGTAATAAAAATGACACGTCATGAGGAAAATAGAGAAGGTTATAGAGAAGGTTGCTAACATTTTCCAAACCAAAATAAGACAGGGTCATTTTGGTCATTTTATTGGTAACATCAATAATGAGTGACATTGGTTTGTTATTGTACTCTTTTTTCAGTTAAAGGATCCATTTGGATTCATATTGCTCTGAAAGCTGCGGTATTCTTTTTGGAGAAACGGATTTTGCCTCTTTAGCTTGTTTTTTCTTTGTGGCTAGGGGAAGGCCTGTGCCTACCCAATTGGACATTGCCCAAAACCCAACTACTAGGGCAGAACAGTCCAAAAATAAGAACATAGGTTTCGGTGCGACAGTTCCAAGGCCAAATTTTTATTTTTATTTTTTAAATATTGCATTTTTTCTCAATATTGTTTAATAAAATTTTAAGTTGTAGTTTTTAGCTCTAAACAAAATTATTTAAAATAAGGACCTTGTAGCACACTCGAGTGGTTAGTATAGTTTATTTTCGCACGAATGCATTTGGTTTTAGGCAGTTTGAACCGAGTTTTTTGTGAATCTTTAAAAATAAGTATGTGACGAATTATGAATTTGACGTTTTAGTTTCATAAGTTAAGAGACACTTTAAATATGTATGGATCGCGATAATTATGTGTATTTATAATCTACTTAAAAATAGTGCATGTGATAATAAAGTAAATCCTAGATTTTCCTCTTTTACCTATTTTTTTAATTTTTTAATTTTTGCCAAATTTTCACCTACTTTGTTGAGTGCAAATGGAGTTAACCTAGACTACATCACCAAGGTGTGTAAATACTAGTGCGAAGGCCTTTGACCCCAGCCAAGCAAGCTGCAAGATAAAATTTCAAATTCCAGAAATACCCTCCACCCGCCCACACGCTACACCATTGCCCGTTTTGTTCTTTCTCCTTCTTCTTCACAGGTTTCACTTGCATGAGACTCCATTTCCCTTCTCTCTCTCTCCCTCGCCGAAGCATCTCAACTCCAATCATCGCCCAGATATTGGCAAAGTTCAGAGCCCAGGAAAAATGGTTTCGAACTCGGACATCCTGACCCGGCTCACAGAAATCCTCAGCACTTCAGACCTCGACACGGCCACCGCCGGCAGCGTTCGCCGTCAACTGGAAAACGATTTCGGAGTTGATTTATCGGACCGGAAAAAGTTTATCCGGGACCAAATCGACATTTTCCTCGAGACCCACAGGGCCGAACCCCAAGACGAAGAAGAAGCGGAGGGGGAGGAGGTCGGTGAAGGGTCGGAGAATGCAGAAGAAGAAGAAGATGGAGATGAAGAAGGAGAGGAAGATAATAAAGGCAAAAATAAAAGGAGAAAAACGTGAGTTAATTTTTTAATTTATTTTTTAACTGCTTCTTTTGTTTTGTTTTATTAGTGTTTGGTTGCTGGGAAAATGGGGTTAGTCGGTAGGAAAGAAATTGAGGTTTTAAGTTAATGAGGATACCAGTTGCCCAATTTGGTCTCTCTATTTTTGGGTTCATTGGGTCCCACATGATGAGAAATGCGGCTTCTTTTTCTTTCTTTTTTTCTATTGAAATAAAAGCCAAGTCAATAATCTTTTGGGATTTTGGAGTAGTTGCAAGAAAACTTGATTCCTTTCTTGATATTTCTGTCAACTATGTGCATCCAATTGTAGTTTTTATTGCCTTTTCCTTTCTTTATCAATTGGTTGGCTGAAATTTGTATTGAAGTTGATTTCTTTCTTTCTGATCTTAAACTTTGGTTTCATAATCCACAACATCATTGCAGCACATTTCTTATGTGAACATATCATACTTTGCACTTAGAAAAAACACATAACTGAATGAAGAAATAATGAATATTTTTTCGGTGTTTCTACATGGATTGCTCATTGAATTATCAAATACTGAGGTTTTCAGTGCCGGTAGCAAACTGACAGCAGTCTGTCTTGCTGTCTCATCTTGAAACTGAAAAGGCTCCTAGAAGTTTAGAGTATACATTTTTAAAGTTTGCATATTTAGATTTAGTTGAGGAGTAAATGAGAAGTCTCTGTTTAGTGAAGAATTTGATATGGAAGTATACCGACTGACAGTGAATTGGAAATGATCGGTTCAGAATCTATGGCTTCCCTTAAAACATTCACGCTTAGTTTTCATTTAATAACAGTGACTTTGTATCTAGAGATATGGCCCTTAAAGTCCACCTTACTCATTGTAAGGAAGTCCTCTTTTTTTAGTATGCAATTACTTGTATGCCTAGAAATCTGTTTATCTATTTAGCTCTTCATAGTTGATACTACATATTTAGAGCACTATATGCAAGGAGTTGAAGCTTATACTACGATTACGTTGACAAGTCAAGGATATTGCGCTATATGCTGGAGGCTAGTACTTGTACAACTAACGTTCATTCCCTCCTGTTATTCTAAGGAGCACGTATATGTTGAGAAAGCTTTGCATTCATCTATAGGCTAATTGTCTAATATGATTGTGGAATTTCTCAGAGTAGGCTCATATCTCTGAAATCCAGTTCAGGGACGATGATTTCTTTACATTGTTTCTAGAAGAATGAATTTTCTGTGTACTTGTTGTTAAGTTCCATCTGTGGTTGGTTACTTTTGTCCTCAATATATGAATGAGTATGTGATGTATGTGGCTCTGTAAATACGTATTCGTGCTGGGGCTCTGAGTTTCTGCGATGCACATTTCTCTTAGTTATTTTATATTGCCAAACAGGGTGGATAAAGGAGTTGTCAAAAGAGGTGGCTTCAACAAAATATGTAGCTTGTCTCCACAGCTTCAAGAATTTGTTGGAGAGCCTGAAATGGCCAGGACAGAGGTATAATTTATTAGGTTTATGCAATTTTTTATTGTTTACTTTTCAATGCATCCTTGTGTTGGATGGAGATTTCGGAACCAAAATATGATACTTATTCTCCCTCATTCATTTTTAGGTAGTGAAGAGAATTTGGGCCTATATCCGTGAAAAGGATTTGCAGGACCCAAAAAATAGGCGGAATATAAGATGTGACGAATCACTACATTCCCTTTTCCGTGTTAACTCTATTAATATGTTTCAAATGAATAAAGTTCTCTCCAAGCATATATGGCCGCTTAGCAGAGAAGATGGTATGTCTAGAATTACTTTCCTCATCCTGCTGATGACACTTATATGTGACCCGATTGTCTTTGTTCATGGTGTTAACTTGTTTATATTACCTTGGTACTTACATGTTGATTTTCCATATACTCAAGAATGTGCGTAGTGTTGTTTTTTTCTTTCTTCTTGTTACTCTCCCTTTGATGAGCATGGTATATGCAGCTGCTTGACATGCATTTAAACTCCACTAAACTTGAATGTGCACTCAATGAAAATGAAAAAAAAAAAAAAAAAAAACATTCCTACAAGACGTACACTATTTTCTACTGTAATTCACTGAGGATAGGCAATATTACTAATTGTTTATTCTCCAGTTTAAGAATGATTTTACATTACGGAGTTGTATGAATCAGCTTATGATAGGATGGAACTGTCCACTTATAGGTTCTCTTGGATGCTTATCCATTTCACTTGTACTTTGAGCATGTGGTTGGTTTTGCGAACTAAGAAGAAGGTATAACATTTGGTTCCAAAGCTTAATAAAACCATGATTTTTTAAATTTGTGCTTTGTTATTTTTCTTCGGAGCATGATTTCATTTTTTCCTTTCCAAGTTATTTTGGCTTTCTGTAGCTCCGGTATAATACTGATATCTTGGCTCATAAACTGTTCTCTTTTTTCAGTATGTCCATTAGCATGGGGTATATGTAATTTATTTTACTTTTTTACTTCATCTGCCAACAAAAAATTATTCCAAATAGGATTGTTGCCGTATTTCAAGTAATGGTATCTTCTAATTTTGTTTATCATTTACCTTTACTATTGTCACCCTGAAGTTGCATGTTATAGTATTTATTTGAGATTTTAACACCGTAGCATGATGAAACTCAGAACCTGTAAAGCAAAAGAAGAAAGGGGAAGAAAGTGATCATTCTGTCTCTGAAGGAGATGTAAATAATGTAGCACAAGAGGAAGAAGAGGTGGAAGAAGAAGAAGAGGAGGAAGAAAAAGTTAGTAAACAAAAAGAAAGCAAGAAACGAAGGTTACTTTCTTTAATTTCATGTCTTATCCTTTTTTGTGTAGGTTTTTTATTTTGTTGACCTTGTCATTGTTTCCATTATTTTTTTAGTATTCTATTATGCATGTTCAACATTTGGAAGTTGGATATTTTAACTTGAAGTCCTTGTAGAGATGTAATTATGATTTATTCGTTATTGATTTGCATAACTAGGCAAAAACAGAGTTCCTGGAGATTGAAAACTCTAACTTCTAAATCCGATCATTGAATTCACTTATTGTCTATTTACTTTATCAGAATAACACCCGTAGAGTTATTACTTGTGATAGTTTGTCTGATTTCTCCTGCTCCCGCCCAAAAAAGAAAAGAAAAGGAAAGTCCATTACTGTTTATTTGTATAATGATATGTACTGGGTACATAGTAACCTATTGGATATTTATAAGACCCTCTATGGCTGTTAGGGCGATATATACCTGGTTCCGAGGTGGCTGGTGTTTATTTTTTCTAATATAGTGTGTTATCAAGTAGGGCTGCAAAAGTGGATAAAGAAGTCAAGAAAAGGGGAGGAGGTGGCTTTACCAAATTATGCAGCCTTTCTCCAGAACTTCAAAAGTTCATGGGAGTGCCAGAATTGGCCAGAACAGAGGTACTAGTTTTAGATTTTCAGAAAACCCCTTTCTCCTCGAGGAAAAAGAAAATATATATTTTTTTTTTTAGCCAGATGAAATCGCTTTAAGTATAATTTCAAAACTTATTGTATACTCATTCTCATTTCTTTCCTGAATTAGGTTGTGAAGAAACTTTGGAGTTATATCCGGGAGAACAATTTGCAAGATCCAAATAATAAACGAGAGATAATATGTGATGAGTCATTGCGTGCCCTTTTTGATGTTGATTCTATCAATATGTTTCAAATGAATAAAGCTCTGTCCAAGCACATATTGCCCTTAAATGGAGAAGGTATACATCTTCAATAAACATGCATTATGTTTCCTACATACTTACGGTTTGGGATGAATTTGATTGTCATAAATCCTGCAGTTTTCAGTACTGATAAATCAAAATGCATTGTGTAGAATGGGGAAACTGTTTCTTGGATGTGATGCTTTTTGCACATTTATTTCTATACTTCATGCATATGGATTCTGATATATTGATAGCTTCACAAG